AAATGAAAGTTGGAGAGCTTTTAGATTGTGCACTGTTTTATGGGTTCTTGAGGGAAACAGGACAAGAATATGAACACCAGGTATAGGCAATCTGACGCCCTTCAGATGCCTTGAACCAGAACTTCCATAATCTGTTGATATGAGCCAGTTTAGCCAGAAGTGATGAGAAATTAATTCCAAAATACCAGATGGGTACCAGATGTGCTGTGACTCCATGCAGCATTCTCTCCCCATCCCACCCCCCAAAGGAAGGGAATATTGTATAGGAAAATGAAACAGAGGAAGCAAATTAAAATTACAGAGACAAAGTACAAAGTAAAAAGAGAAGAGACATAGGGAAATTGACAGATCAAAGAGAGCATGAGACTACAAACCTTGTTCTTTTTCTGGCTGTGCACTATCTCTGTTACCACTAAATCCACTAGTTGTTCTTTAAATGGATCAGCAGTCATTTGAATTGCATGTGTACTCATGTACAAAGGCTGCTTTCTAACCAATACAGTCTCAGCACTTTCCTCTGTTTAGTGACACCTTGTTTGTTGTGTTTCAACTCTCAAGCCCCCTCTCCCGCCCTGCCTTTTCCTCTCCCTTTGATTCAATGACCTTACTAGATGTTACAGAGAAAGCACCGAGGCAGTATTTGGTAGCTTGATCAGCAATGGCAGACAAAGACTTCATTGTCAAGAGATCAGCGAGGATAGAACCAGTATTTTCCATGAGTAGATATTAATTGCAATAATTTCCCTATTTATTTACTTATTTACTAATTGAGACACTCATTTCCAGACCATATTTACATAATTGAAACATAATTTGGTAGAAAACTCCATAATCGGAAGTGAATTTTGGGTGATCATGAACAAAGACTCTAATTTTCAAATAACAATAGATTGTGACACTCCCAGTAACTGTATAATTGATCTATTATCTAACTCTGTTTATCCATTTTCACCTAATTATAATACAAATATACCTGGCATCAACTTTTTTCTGCAAGGTCTCCAGCATATTTTCCTACTCTCATAACCCAACCCATGTGTAAGACAAGCTGAGGATGCCCTTAACTATACTACTATGAAGCTAGCATTCTCCCTATTGAACCAGCATAATCAAAAAGTAAGTTATGTGAATTTTGATTTCTTTAGCTGCTCTTTCCATCATCAACAAAGTCAGGTGACCCATAGTAGATAAAGTCAGCTTGGCATCTATTAGCCATTTATGGCTGATGTAATCATGTTTCCTTTCTTATGGGCTCTAGGTAGTCTCTTATACTACAATTCTGTTTTTTCACCAAAAATACTGGGCATTTCCTGGGTATTATGTAAATTAGACAATAGCTGGTTCCAAAAATACTTTGTCATGTTAACTCTTCAAAATGAGTAATATCCAAATAGTTAATAATCAGGATTTGCTAATGGAAGGGTATCCTCCTAATTCTCTTGCATTTTAGTGTTACAGAATAGTTTATGACATGTGTATAAACACAAATGATAAAACATACATGTGAGCTTTCAAACATCATTGACTTTTCCTATAGTTACACTATCTTGCCTTATAGTATATAGTGTATAATATATAGTATATGCTATGTGTTATCATCTATGACTTCACTTTGTTGTTTGTATGTGTACTGAAAAATTGTGTCAAACCTGAAATTGATATATGTGTAGCCATGTTAGTTAGCTTTATATTATATTCATTTATTCCTTCTCTTTCTCTCGGTTTTGTTGGGGGGGGTTCGGGCTCACTACACTCTTAAGGTAGGAGGAGGGAATAGATAGTGAGCATTGTTTGGGCTAGGTGATCTTCTTTCCCATGAGAACGGAGGCTGTCCTTGTTGAGAGCTGAAGGTGGAGTTTGATGACATCGGGCAATGTTGATTTTGCTTTTATTGGGGAATATGACTTTTGTGGGACGTTTCTACATTTCAATATTATGTGGTGTAATTCTGATTTGTGTCAGATCCGGAATTAAAACAGTCTTTGTCAATTTGATGCCTACCTAAATAAAAGACATTTGTTTTGGAAGATGAACTTGGCTTATTTCTTTTTTGAATGGGTTTCATCACTTGGAAACCTCACATTATGCACCAGAGACAAATTCCTTGTGTGTCCAATCGCACTTGGCCAATAAAGAATTCCTATTCTGTTCTGTTCTGTTCTGTTCTGTGCTGTGCTATGCTGTGCTGTGCTGTGCTATATGCTACAGCAATTGGCAGAATTATGAACACAATGGCTACCTTATTGTAGTGATTAATGTGTGTCACTAAACACTATGTAGACTTAATGCATATATTAATATGTGTTAAACATCCAGAATTATCTCTGAGATAAAAAAGATTCCATTGAAGTTCATACTAAAGTTATCTTAAGCTATATCCTCCTCATTACAACAATTCAATTCAATTCAAATCTTTATTGTCAGTGCACAACATATGCACAATGAGATTGATTGAGCTCCCTCAGTGTATACACACACACACCCAACACAATACAACAGCAGGAAAATTAAAACAGACTATACAAAAAAAATAATTTGCCCTGAATTGTGTAAATATTTTTGGCAAAAACTTATAAATTATGTATTGCATCATTTGGGTAGAAATTAAACATGGATCTAGTAATCTACCCTGAGATACCCAATACCACTGTTGCTTCACAATTAGAGATGATTCAACGTGTTTGCCTAAAGATACCCTTCCTTGGGTATATTAAATCCAGTGCGATAGTACTTGTACCTCTGCCAACCCATGGACATAGTATGACATACATGATGATATTTACCATCAGTACAGCTTTTGCTAAATGTATCTTCTTCTGTGACCTGAAATTCCCAGCCTGGGTTTTTTAGTCTGTTTCAGTAACCAACAAAGAGAACAATATTTACCACATGCTTAATTCCACCTTTCTGATCATCTATTCATCCCAGTCGCTGTGCAAACCAGACTGTACAGTCAGAGACTTTTGTCTTCACCTTATAAAAGGGCAAATGTGGTAGGAAAAGAAAATATTTTGCTAAACTGAGCCTATTGCTTGCTGCAGGACAATGTTCAACTTATAGAAATGTCATTTTGATCTGTAAATATCACAAGTAGTTGTATTTTTGGCACTAGTGCTCCAAACTGAATGTTTTCTATTCTGGATACTGTTTTCAGAGTTTTAATGCACATGTTATAATCTAGTAGGTAGGGATTAGATTACAGGTAGTCCTCAATTTACAACAGTTTATTCACTCACCGTTCGAAATTACAGTAGAAGTGAAAAAAGATATTTATGAACATTTCTTAACCCTTATAACTGTTTCAGATTCCCGTGGTCATTGATCAAAATTCAGATGCTTGGCAACTGAAAATTGTGACGGTTGCAGTGACCTGGGACATCTGATCACCTTTTGTGACTTTCTGATGAGCAAAGTCAACTGAGAAGCCAGATTCACTTAACAATCATATTACTAACTTAACAACTGCAGTGATTCACTTAACAATTGTGACAAGAAAGAAAGTAAAATAAAATGGAGCAAAATTCACTTAACTATCTCGCTTAGCAAAAAAATGTTGGGCTCAATCGTAAGTCAAGGATACTTGTACTATTATTGTTATGTCCAAGTACAGGTAGTCCTTGACTTACGCTCACAATAAAGCCCAAACTTTCTGTTGTTAAGTGAGACATTTGTTGTGAGTTTTGCCCCCTTTCTTGCCTCAGTTGTTAAATGAATCACTGCAGCTAATAAATTAGTCACTGGGTTGTTAAGTGAACGTGGATTCCTCATTGACTTAGCTTGTCAAAAGGTCACAAAAGGGGATCACATATGGATCTTATATGGAACAAAATCAAGACTATTTTGAATTTTTTTTTCTCACTCTTGTTTCTATCTCTGAGTTGTGTAATCTTTTCTGCAAGTTACTCCTTAATAGTACTTTTGTATCTTCTATCTCCAAATTCCTTTACAATACTCCAAAGTTAACTTTATTGGAACAGGGGCTCAACTGTACATCTGCAATTAAGCCAGCTGGAGAATTCTGGAAGTTGAAGCTTTCAAGTTGCCACACACATCTTAAAGTTGCTGAGGTTGAGAAACATTGATCTACGTAGACAGATCTGCACTTGAAGCAAAAGGATCCACCGGTATTTCCGTGACTTTTGGGAGCAGGGCTGGCAATTGTAGAAGGTTTTAATATGTCCCTGTTATTTGTATGGATGGGGAACATCCATTTCAAGGCAGTTGCTTTCTTTGACATTTATGATACACACATGCCCCAAAACATCCAAGCAGCATGTTTCTTTACATGAGGAAAAGGGGTTTAACTGCTTGGTAAGTTGCCCTACAACTAAAAAAGCAAAAAAGACAAAGCAGGGTAATAAAAATTTGTTTGGCAGGGATTTTAGCTTTCAGCTGACCTATTGATAATACTTTTGTTCAACTTCCATGGGAAGCATGGTGAACTGAAGACACCTTCATGAAAATGAAGTTGGCCATAGCAAAGTCTACTAATTTTTTCCAGTTAATGAGAAGATGGGAGATTACCCACATGTACTCCATATGGCTGCTCCTCACAAGGAGACGACGGGATGGCAGTTTCTTCCATGGGTTTGAGCATTGGGGATGAAGGGATTAGTCATTTTGGTCTCAATTGAAGCAGAGACTTGTAAAGTTCACTAGGTTTGCAAGCCTCACTTTCAGAAATTGCCAATAACCATCTTAATGTTATTAAAGTTATTAGAATGACAAGCTTAAAAAGTCATTGGATGAGTTTAACTTCAACTCTGAACAAAACAAAAATTAATTACAAATTTAAGAACTTAAATATTTTGAAATAAACCGCAAAAAGCTAAGTAAGAGTTTGTCTTAAAAAATTGCTTTAAGGGTTGAGTTAAATTTAAAATATTGACAGTAAGTATAAGATTTTGGAATTAGCTATAAAAACAATTTCTTGTGGGAAGTTATTTTAGCTATCTCGATTCATAATAAGTTAAACAACTTTCTGGTTTTAGAAACTGATCTTTAGAGTGGACTAAACATTCTTTATTGAAGGAAAAGAAAATTATAAGCCAACCTTTAGAATCAGTTAACCAGAATTTACAAAATGACAAAAAAGTCATAACATTGGAAATACTAAAGAAGATCTTTGAAGAATGGAGCCAGAAACTAATAGTTACAATATCAATAGTGTCAGTAAAGATGTCTGATCCTATGGATGGACACTGTCCAAATATGTCAATGAGAGAATGACAGATGTGGAGTAAATTTTATCTGACAAGAAAAAGTACCCGAAAGGAACTACAAATGATATGTAGAAATGATATGCCGAAAAATAGATTTGGAAAAAGGCACTTTACTAATATTTAAAGAAAACTGGCAGAAAATTACAAAAATGAAAGGGGAAGTGCAAATGATAAAACAAAAGACTGTAGATCCAATAAGAAATGTTTTCTTTTTGGATCTACAAAAGAGGCTTGTTAAACCTTTGAGCAACACGGAGGCAGGGTTTTCCATCAAGTTTGCAGCTGTAATGCAGCCCTAAATTGAATCTAAGGACAGTACTACCAAGTATCAAGGGACGAGGGAATCTTTTTCAATAGATGTGTAAAAGCAAAAGTTAAACAATAATTTATCAAAAAAAAAATTATATACATTAAGGGTTTGGACACAATTGCTAGAATGTTATGTTGCTTTCTATAATTCATGGTCTTAGATACAGCTTTTAATTCTGATACTATGAAAATTTGAGAATTGTGGATATGATCCAGTCCACTGTTTGGAAGGGGGTTGTGTCCATGTATGGTCAGAGATCTGTCTTTAATCTATATCTCCATGGTACTGAAATGGTGAATGGATTTAGACGTTGATCAGAATAATTCTATAAGATTTTGTTTGTAACTTTTTAATTGTTGTCCCTTAAGACTTCTGTAAGATTAGAGCTTCAGGATTGGTGATCACAAACAGTGACTCTAATTTCCACCTCATTTTTGACTCTGAAAAGGCATTGAGGCTAATCTGGAGCATTTTGGGTGAAGAAAAAGTTCACCCAATGCTGCAGAGATTGGTCCTCAGTATAGAAAAATTGTGGTGTTAAAAGAACTCATCTACTTAAATATTTTCTTCTTCTTAAATGGGAACTGTGAATTGTATAGATGGGCTGTATATTGGAGTTCTGGCATGGTCATCTTTTTACAGATGTTCAGGGTCTTATTGTCTAAATCTTCTTTGAGATTGTAACCCATGATATGAGTATTTCCTTGAAAAGGCTTCATATTCTTATCTTTAATTTGATGATTCTCAATTGCAGTTTCTTCCAAGAGACATGTCTCCATCAGTTCATTTTGTCTCTTCTGCAAAAGTTCAACTTCCTTGTACAGGGTTTTGAGGTCCATTCTTTCCTGAATCTTCATCCAAAATGATTTATTGAAATGTTTATAAAGTTCCCAATCTAAAGCACACCACTCCTTCACTTTCTCCTTATTCTCTGGATTCAGAGTCTGAATGGTTTGTTGGCTCCTGGCATTCATCTTGAAATAAATCACATCATCCAGATCCCAACACAAAAAATCCTTCAGAAGGATCATTGACTCATCAAAAAAATCAGCAATCAGTATCAAGTGAAAAATCTCTTCTATGTTATTCAGGACAAACTGGATATAACTCTCATCGTATTCTGCATTGTTGTTATACCCAAAATCAAACCACATGTTGTTCTTAGCATGCATATTATTTTTTTCTGTCATATTGTAGTATGACCAAGGAGATGATAGAAAATCATTAATGTCCTTGGATTTTCTAAATGCTGGTGCATAGTTTTTGAAGTAGACATAAGATGATTCAAGCAATAATGCTGGGTGTCTCAGGATAGAAAAATAAAAGGTATTATTTGGCATTATTCTTCTGACCTTTTAAATGAAAGAGAGGGGGAGAGAGTTTAAAATAAGTATCAATATTTTTGAATAATCAGTAAAAATTCTGTATTCTAAAATAAATACAATTGACCTATCACTTGCAGAACTTAACAAGATTTCAGGAAAGTTGGTGCAATATGAAATGGTACTTGCTTTTGCATATCTGTAGAGAGATACTATACATTAATTTAGCCATATTAATTGAGACATTACAAGAAACCATAAGAAGACAAAGACTCTAATGGCACAAACAAGTTTTAAACTCCTTTGGGCTTCCGTGCTTCTCCTTTTAAAGGAATGTTTTAAAAAATCATTTCCATTTTTAAGTAATTGTAGCACCTTATATTGTCCCAATCAGAATATCTATGCTTTATTTAACTAATTTAATATAAATTAGATTAACCATAACTCAAGGTTTGGATGCTACTTTAAACCAGGGGTGAAATGTTACCGGGGTGGTTTGCTGGAACTGGTAATGAAAATGCTGCTGGTTTGTCAGAAACGATAGTAAAAAAATGCTTTAAAAAGTAAAGTTCCCACGATTGCGCAGCACAGCTGATCCTCGGAACCTCTTTTTTTACTTTTTTTAACATTTTTTTACTACTGGTTTGGGCAATAGGCAGTAAATGCTTTAAAAAAGTAAAAAAAATGTTCCGACAATCAGCTGTGCCAATCAGCTGTGCCGCAATCGGAGCTTTTTTTTTACTTTTTAAAGCATTTTTTTAACTACTTATTGCCTGGACCGGTATTTTTGTGTAAAGTGTGATAGTTTGTTTTTGAGCTCTCTGTGACTCTGTGAGGTTCCTGCTTGTTGCAGGGGCCACTTTGTGTGAAGTCCAGCTGCTTTTGCGTTGTGTATGAGTCAGTTGTGTAGCTTTTATGTTATTTTTGTGTAAAGTGTGATAATTGGTTTTCCTGGTCACATGACCACCAAGTCACGCCAGTCATATGACCGTCACGCACGCCACGCCACGCTCACAGAACCAGTAGGGAAATTTTTTGAATTTCACTACTGCTTTAAACAATAGATAATTGGGGGAGAAATGAAAGTTTCTGATATCTTTCTTTATAGTTTGGGTAAAGAAAGATCTAATTTATCACGTTTGCATTCAGTAAGTATGAGAAGCCAGCAAAATGCTTACTTATATTCATCATAATGGGCAGGTCTTTGGAGAAAATGTTAAAATACTGATGATGTTACCTAGTTTGAGTAATGAAACATCTGAAAGAAAACAACCAAGCTCAGAGAGTTGTTGGAAGTTAAATTCAGACTGGTTCTTATTCCAAGCCAGGAGAGAGACACGGGAATTAGAGGCAGGCTGAAGTTTTGCAAAGGGAGTCTCCGTTTATTTAGTCACCAGAAACAACAGTGACAGTAGCATGTTTCTGGGGTGATGGACAAATTGGGGTTGAGAGTAGATGGGATTTTATACAATTTTGGGGGGCTTTGTGATTGAGATGCCTGTTCCTGTGCAAGAATATGTCCTTTAATATTTTAATGGCTGTTGCCAGGTTCCTATGGAGTCATGTAGGGGTCATGACTGGCTCTATAGGCAAAAGGGGAAATGCAAATCCTAGATGTTTTGTTTGAATGAGCTAATTTTGTCAGTTTCAGCTACCATACTTGCTTATTGTGCTGCTTATTCAGAGCTGTTGGTTGCCCTTTGTTTATGAACAGAGTGGCCTGGCTTTATGAATGGAGGCAAAATATCCATTCATAAAGCGTAGCCTCTTCAGGCTTCTACTTGAGGCTGTTTTCCTATAGTAGAAAGACTGGGGCTGCTTTTTGCCTTTATTAAGGAGATTTTTCTCCTCTTCTCCTTTAGGGGAAATATTCTATTCTGCCTCTTTTAATATTCTGTAGAATATTTTATTCTGGGAAGGAGGCCCTTCCCGCAGACCTCTCATTAATTATCACACCAACCACATAATTGGAAACAAATTAAGAAGAAGATAAGTTTCATTCTTAGCAGACTTGAAGCAAGCAGGGAAGAGGGAAATATAAAAAGGGGTCTCCATTATTAGAACCATAGGTGCTGGCTATTACAGATTGCAGAATCACGTGATGTATTTGTTCTATTTACAGAACAGTATGTTTAGAAATCAATAGTGCTTAACAATAAACACAGTATAGTTTGTGTGCCATTACATATGCTGAATGAGCTTGTTTCATTCCCCTGGACTTTCTGCATAAAAGTACTTAAAATAGCACTACATACTGCTCAATGAGAGGGTGAGACAGATGGACGTAGCTGATATTTTTAAATGAAAAGTGAGTCAATTTTTCCAAATTACACTCCTTCAGATATATAAGTGGAAATAGAAGTTCTTTGAAGTTTCTTTTTTTTTTCTTTTGCCTTTGGAGACTATGGAGTTTGTGGAGAAGAGAATATCACCAGAGTCCATGGAGCTCAAATTTTGTGGATGAATTTGCATTTTTTAAGATGTTTATTCAGAGAACAACAGAGAATAGGATTATTCATCATCACAGAGACTTAATACATCTAATTTGATATCTTAAATTGTTTTACTAAATAATTATGTCACTAAAAACTGGCATTTCGCTACTGAAATTTGGTTGTGCAAATTTGGGAGTAGGGTTGCAGGAGGTTACAAAAATGGACTGGGCTTAATGTCTCTCCTGTGTCCTGTCCTGTTTTTTTCTTCCCCCTTCCCAATGGAGAGATTGTTTAAACAGTCCTCACTAGTGTAGTCCTTTCAATGTATATATCCCATGATGTTCCTGTATACCTTACCTTGTAACTGCTTCCTCTCCAATGAATGTAAATATAAATATTAAACCAGTGGTGGGTTTCAAAATTTTTTACTACCTGTTCTGCGGGTGTGGCATAGCTTGGTGGGTGTGGTTTGGTGGCGTGGCAGGGGAAAGATACTGTAAAATCTCCATTCCATCCCCAATCCAGGGGAAGGATACTGTAAAATCTCCATTCCGTCCCCAATCCAGGGGAAGGTTACTGCAAAATCCCCATTTCCTCCCGATCAACTGGGACTTGAGAGGCAGAGAATAGATGTGGGCGGGGCCAGTCGGAATTTTTACTACCGGTTCTCTGAACTACTCAAAATTTCTGCTACCAGTTCTCCAGAACTGGTCAGAACCTGCTGAAACCCACCTCTGGATTAAACCCCTTCTTGCTAATTATCCCAGTGCCAGGTGAACATACCAAAGAAGGGGGGAGTAGGGGAAAGGACTATAAGGTTTGCCATTTTATTAGCTTCTTCATGTGTAAAGTTCCAGAAACTTTTGCTGTTTAGGCTCACCCAGCTCTTGGGGTCATGTATCAGCATCTTTTGATGCTATAAGGACAATTTCTTAATAAACCCTTTTTAAGATTTGTTATAGTTCTGGAATCTCCTCATTCTTTGGTACCAATTCTGCAAATTCCAAATTAAGCATCAACACAGATTAACAGCAACAATGACTCTTAGAGAAGGCACTAACTCCAACAGACAAAAGCTGGAGTAAAAAATGGAAACTTTACAAAATAACTTCTATATTCTTACCTGTTGCCAATTAAACCTTAGGTGATTGCCCATGATGTTGAACTTTTTTCCCAGCGTTTTGAATTCCTCAACATATGATATGTGGAAGGAGTCAGGATAGCCAAGATGGGGCTCATTTCCATAGGGTAAGGCCATGGTAAGGTTATGTTTCTCTGTGAAGCGGTAGAGGATGTTGAGTATTGTACTGCTGCCTGTTTTGTGGGTCTTGAGGAACATGACTTCTGTGATGGGTTGACAGATTTTGGAAGGCCTAGATAAATACACAATATATAACCAAGGAATATATATACATATACACATATACACAATACGCAATATATAACCAAGGAAAAATATTTAGAAACTACCTTTCCCACTTGATAATTCATTCCTTATGACTGCCATGGATTTCCCTGCTTTCCTTTGTGCTTCTATGTTTAGTCTGATCTGTTTTTATTTCAATAGGTCATGTGTCTACATATGTTTGAAAGCTGGAAGTTTCTAGTTTGTGAATTGTCTGGGGCATTTATGAGCCATAAACTATGTAATTAACATACAGTTCCTTTTTGTACTTCAACAACAACAACAACAACAACAACAACAATAATAATAAGCTAGATGTGATTTTTGTATGGACAGACTGTTCAGAGTTGTAATGAATGTGAGAAACATCTATTTTAAGATGCTCATATATTGAAAGAATTAAATAAACCAGCTGATCTGTCAGCCCAGATAATGGGTGGATAATGTTAAGGAAAGGAAAACCAAAACACCAAAGAGCTAATATGGGGAGTGGGTTTCCCTCTTCATAAGGGTTTTTATAAAAAGAGAGGGCAATCTCCATTTTGCCTCTGTTTCTCCCTTATGGGCTTTGACTGGAAGGCTGATAACAGCAAAGCTGCAGTGAGCAGCAACAGAGATGCAGCTAATAATTTAGATTGAACATTAGGTCAGTTAAACTAGTTGCATTATTATGTTTTTTTTCAGACTAATGTGTAAAAAACTTTCTACTTGTGCTTGTCTAAGATCCTAGGCTAGAGAAGTCAGCTGATTGAGATTCACCTTTTAAGGAAGCAATGATTCATTCTTTCTCCTTTTATTTTTTCTGCTCAACTTCTACGTCTCTGACTTCGCTGTGGATTATACCGTTTTCTGTTTCTTAGGAAACTTGTATTGTTTATTCTATACAAGGAAGCAAACCTTTAATATATACTTCCTTACACCCTTATATTTTCGATGGTAAATCTTTAAAGCATGAAAGTTAGCTGGGTGACCTTGAGCCAGGCACTCTCTCTAAACCCAACTCACCTCACCGGAGTCTTGTTGTGGAGACAACATGAGGAGAAAGGTGTTTTGGATATGTTCGCTGCCTTAAGTTAATTGCGAAAATAACAAAGGTGGTATATAAATAAATAAGTAATAAATACATAAGCATGCATTGGCTCTTCCCAAGAATTGTGGGCAGAGTGAAGCAGGATTGTAGGAAGAAAGTTGAGAACCAACAAGGGTTCTTTGCATTCTAAGCATGCCTGAATATGCACCTCTGTTACAATATAAATTTTTAATAATCCCTCTAAGAAGCATAGAATAATAAAGCCTACTATGCTTACTTAATAACATATACATACACACAACAGAATAATATACATATGCATGATTTTAAAAAAAAAAATCCTTCTCACCACTATGGGTGGCCTGTGTCGTGCTCAGTCTCAGGTCCTCTTATCACAGGGGTCTTAAAACTTTTTAAACAGGGGGATGATTCACGGTCGTTCAGACTGTTGGGGGACCAGACCTTCTGGATGGGCATGGCTAGGTGGTCATGTGGCTGGGTGTGCGTGGCCAATTTAGCAGTCCATTTTGCCTTTGTCCTTCCTAAGATGTAACTTGCTCAACTCAAGGAATCTATTTACTTAATAAGACCCCCCCCACACACACGAAGGGAAATAGACCGCAAACTTTCTTGTCACTTGCCTAACTTCATTACAACAGCAGCTTCAGACTTCTTAAAATAGGCCATTAAAAAAAGAATAAAACAAACAGGATTTCCTTCAAAATAACTCTTGATCATATGTTTCAGATGACCACACAATAAACCAGACTGAGAATTGCACCAATTAAGACTGTAACTCAAACCCCCAAGATGGGCATTGAGAGACATTGGAAGCAGGCGGAAGAAGGCGAGAATCAACACAAACACTCCCGCCCCAAGCCTCCAATGGTGCATTAAGGAGGGATAACGGTCCCTCAGACTGTTGGGGTCTGGACTATAGTTTGAAAAAAACATGAACAAATTCCTATGAACACTGCATATATCTTTATTTGTAGTACAAAAAAACATGAAATAATACAATATTTAAAATGAAGAACAATTTTAACCAACATAAATATACTACTAATTCAATGGGAAGTGTGAGCCTGCTTTTGGCTGATGAGAAAGTCAATGACCAGTCGTAGCAAGTGATGCAAGTGTTCATCAATTAGTCTGGATCTGGTTGGAGATTTTAGAAGTTTCATTCGTGAAAAAGTCTGTTCACAGACATAGGTGCTGCCAAAGATGGTTACCATTATGAGTGAATGGTTCCTGAGATTAAGATATGTCTCAGAGGAAAGAGATGCATAGAAATTAGTAAGGTTGCTTGACTTGAATGTGTCTTTCAGAGAGTCACAATTCTGTAGTTCATCCAGTTCCATTTGGTAAATTGGATCAACAATTTCAATGTCAACAGAAAATGGGTTCTGGAAAAGCTGTATGTCCTGTTCATGTGCACAACGCTCTTTAAATCTAATTTGAAACTCCCTTTGCAACATTTCCAGTTAATCCACACACTTTTTGTTTGGGAATGCAACTGTGGGTTTTTCAGCCAACAGCTTTTGAGTAGTAAGGAGATGGCAGAAGTTTTCCTCCTTCACTTGTTTAAAGAGGAGGTCCAATTTTACTTCAAATGTCTTCACACTTGAAAGCATATCACAGATGAGCTTCCCCTTTCCTTAAAGTTGCACATTCAAACTGTTGAGTAGTTCTGTTACATCTGTCAGAAAGGCAAGGTGCCATTCTTAATCTTTTTGCTCTGGTACTTCTTTGTTTTTTGAAATCAGAAAAGCAGAAACCTGTGGAAGTAAGTCATAGAAATGTTTCAAAACTCTCCCTCGACTCAGCCAACGGACTTCTGTGTGGTACAAAATAACTTCATAGGCAATATGTAACTCAGATAGAAATTCCTGAAACTGTCTGTGGTTTAGTTCATGTGCCCTAAGATGTTATAATTAGGGCACATGATGATATCACCACAACACAGTGCTTGTTGGTGAATGAGGCAGTGTATGGCTGTTGGATGGGAGTGGTTGTGTTTGTCCATCACTTTGTTAATGCGTGCAACCACTCCTTTCATACATCCCACCATGCTAGGAGCACCATCAGTTGTCACACTGGCTAGTTAATCCAGTCCAGCTCCAAATCATTCACAGTTTGGTGAACCTTTTCAAAGATATCCTCTCCTGTTGTTGTTCCTTTGATGCTTTTCAATGCAGCAAGCTCCTCTGTGACTTCAAAATAATCATTTGTCCCACAAATGAAAATTAGAAGTTGTGCAGAATCACAAACGTCATTGCTTTCATTGAGTGCCAACGAAAAATAGCAAAGTTTTTTTTGAGGAGTTTTGCAAATGCTGATGCAAATTGTCCCCCATTTCTTCAATCCTTTTTGTAATTGTAGGTCCTGAAAGATGCACTGTACTAAATAGTCTGGACACAAGACTGGACACAAAAAGATGTGTCCAGTCTTCTCTGAACACATCTCTTGGGCAACAGAAAGAAGGCATTATTTAACAAATTCTCCCTTTACAAATGGTCTGCCAGTGCATGCTATTAGCTTGGCGACTTGAAAACTTGCTTGCAGTGATGAAATATTTACCTGCTTCTGCTTCACGAAAGCATTTTGCTGAGTTGTCAATCCATTTTTCAGTTTTAATATTTTGTCTTTTCTTGCTTGTCTGACCAAACAATCATATTTGTCCTTATGTTGAGTCTCGTAGTGCCGACGCAAATTGTATTCCTTGAACACAGCCACTAAATCCTGGCATTTCAGACAAACAGCTCTTTCCTTGTACTGCATGAAAAAGTAATCGGAAGTCCACTGTTATTTGAAAATCCTGCACTCAGAGTCAATTTTTCTTTTCCTTGACATAATTGTTTCCTAGGGATTAAAAATTGCTATTAATAAGATACAATAAATACAGCGCTACAAAAAATAGGGATCACTATAGCACGGACGTAATGACAGGCTGAGAGACGCTGTCAGTGAACGTCCCTCCCCTCCCTTCGCCTCTCTATGGGCCCATGTGGTTCCTTCCCCTTTTGTTCCAGGCAAAGGCTTTGCAGCGCTGCTGAGGGCTTCTTGCAAGCAAAGAGTTAAAAATTAAAGTTTGGATGTGATACTTGAATTTAGGCTGGGCAGCTTCTGCAAAAAAAACCCTGGGAAGACCTCAGAGCGTGCTCTCACACACACTCTCCTCCCTCCCCACTCAGGCAGTGGGGCTTCTGGAAACACCCAGGAAGGGCTCTGATTCCTCCATCTCATAAGTGCTCCCCTCTCTCCCTGTGCATCAGGCCACCATCAGTCCACTGGCCTCTGCCAGCTCTCCCCCACCCTCCAGTCCGCACCCTTCAGCCTTACCTTTGCAAGCAGTGGTGAGCAGAAGTGTGTGGGCAGCAATGAGCAGAAGTACGCAGGTGAGCAGCTGCATTCTGCAAGGTATATATAGGCTGGAGAAGGGGCAATGAGGGAGACGGGAAAAGCCAGCCATGCAAGGAATGGCTGGGAGGTGGGGCTTAATCCCACCAATGCGCGGGATACATAGATTGTGTCAGCGGGCTGTATCTGGCCCGCGGGCTGTAGTTTGAGTGGGTCTACACAGTATCTTAGCTGTACCTAGTACTGCACAGAAAAGTACTTAAGTTGCAATCTTCCATGTGCCATGGTCTTCGCTGAATAATCCCATGCTTATTGGGCCTCTGCAGTTATCATGGCTTTGATTAATCAAGGCTTTCCTGTTATACCTTTATTAAGTTAGATAAAGTATTGTTCTAAGCAGATTAATAGCCTTATAATGCCTTATGCACAGTAGTGGGATTCAATTTTTTTTTACTACCGGTTCTGTGGGCGTGGCTTGGTGGGCGTGGTGTGGCTTGGTGGGTGTCGCTTAGTGGGCATGGCAGGGGAAGGATACTGTAAAATCTCCATTCCCACCCCACTCCAGGGGAAGGTTACTGCAAAATCCCCATTTCTTCCTGATCAGCTGGGACTTGGGAGGCAGAGAATAGGTGGGGACAGGGCCGTCAGAGGTGATATTTACCGGTTCTCTGAACTATACAAAATTTCCACTACCGGTTCTCCAGAACTGGTCAGAACCTGCTGAATAACACCTCTGCTTATGCAGCTTTCCTTGCTAATGGTTTGGGCACATTTTGGCCTGTATGTCGCAAGCACCATGTGGGAGATGACCAAGCTGAGCCCAAGTGAGCGGGTCAAATGTGTCATAAGTCATGAGTCCCTGCATTACCGCAAGAGATCTAAATCCAGCCCACCTTGAATGCCTTCTTAATTCCCGTGCATTTCCCTTGATTGTTGGTAGCTCAGATTTTTGTAGAGAGCTTTAGCTTGTAATAAATCTTTATATTCATTTAAACTGCCTGAATCTCCTGATTTCCCCAATGCTCGACACACAGCACAGTTATTCAAATACATTCACAATTTCTATGCAAGATACTCTTGCAAGCATCATATTGTTACCCACATCTCACCCCTAGAGAGTATATGTAGTATACCAATACACCCAGGATATGGTTGTTTTTAATTATCAATAATTGTAATATTAGGAGTTTTTAAAATCACACACATGCACACACACACACACACACACACACATTATACCTGCAATCCAGTGTGAAAAGGGAAGGAAGAACACTTGGTGGATCAATTCAACATAGAACTTTCTTATCATTGCAATTCAGTAGCTCAATATCAGTACTCTTTAACGAGGGATGTCATTTCTGTTGTATTTGTTTTAGAAAATACACTTACTTGATGTCCTCTGTAGCATAGTATTGAAAGTATCCTATCAGGGTAAGACCTGCCAGCCAAAGAATGAGATGCAAAAATCGCTGAAAAAACCTAGGGAAAAAACCCAAATACAATCTTCATTTTCTAATTAGTTACTAAAGTTCTTAGGATATTTATACATTACAAACTATCTTTGCCAATTCCTGAATGTAATGCATTCACCTCCTTACCCAGAAACCAATAATACCATTGAGTGAAAAATGTAGATGAGATCCATGCTTCCTAAGACACATAGCACCAAAACTTGGTAGCAAACTGTAGAATTATGAATGTAATTATGCTGGTGGAGTTTCCTGTAAATTTTAGGTGAAAAATAAATGGGAATGCATTAAACCTCAGATAGGCTTAACCCAGTGGTGAAATCCAGTTTTTTTTACTACTGGTTCTGTGGGTGTGGCTTGGTGGGCGTGGCTTGGTGGGTGTGGCAGGTGAAGGATACTGCAAAAACTCCATTCCCACCCAACTCCAGGGGAAGGATACTGCAAAATCCCCATTCCCTCCCCACTCCTGGCAGAAGGATATTGCAAAATCTCCATTCCCACCCCACTCTGGGGCCAGCCAAAGGTGGTATTTGCTGGTTCTCCGAACTGCTCAAAATTTCCTCTACCAGTTCTCCAGAACCTGTCAGAACCTGCTGGATTTCACCCCTGGCTTAATCCATTTATTGCTGGGTTAATCTACCAGAACAAAAAAGTCCAGGGCATTGAATCACATTCCACTTGAGTAATATCTATTGTACTTACTGTAACCCTTAGCTGTCTAAAATATAAACTTGAAAAGGTGTAACCTATAGCCCAAAAATGCTACAGCTTTGACAGCTAGCTATAGATTATGAATCAAAGGAGACAGTTACATTAAAAGAAATATGATTTAAAACCAGCATAGGCATTCTGGGGCTGACTGGAGTTGAAATTCTTCAGTTATAAAGTTTAAAATTAAGGCTTTGAAAAACACTGATATAATTTGTTACTAATCGTTGTGCTGCTTACTCATACAATTCTAGATAGCCTTCAATATACATATATTATAACTTCCATAAAAATCAGTTCAACAGTAAAATATATATGTTGCTATCTACAATTAGATGACTTTAGTCTTCATTAAAACAATTATTTTTTATTAAATGAGACATTCAATTCACGTAGGAAAAGGAAGAACATTTTGTTATCTATTATCGCCATCAAGCTTATCTTCTGTAAAGTTAAGGTTCAATTAAAAGAATTCAAACACACACACACACATGACTCTTTCCCATTTCCTTTTTTTTTCAACACAAAATAAGCTTTCTCTTTGGAACATTTCTTTTGTATTTTGTGGTTATTCTCATTTTATTATATTCCAGCTTTTAACTAAAGAGAACTCCAAAAGAAAATCTCAAGCCTTCCTGGGTATCCTTAAGAAGAATTGGGGCAGAAATAGGAAGTTATCTGTGAATGTACAGAGAACCAGGATATAAGCAGTCAGTATTCTATTTACTCAAATAATAAGGGATAAAGGGCATATACGGCGTAATAAATTTTTTAAAGGTAAAACTTTTTCTTGATATACAATATCCTAATGGTAGCATGAATCTACTAACGCTATTGATAGAAATAACTGTGTCTTTTATTTTTCACCCAAAAATGGGATTGTCAGAGGCACTACATGCCTGAATTATTTGACAAATGCAGAATTCAAATTTAACTATTAAAACAGGGTGCATATGACTGCCTCCATGCAGGAATACTCCGGCTGCTGTATTTAGAAATGTGGTCTTTAGTTTAACATTGTTGACGTACAAATTTAATGCATGTCAAGTAGGATAAAAATTCCAAAATATTGAAAGGGACAGCTTGAATTGCATTTATCTATGCCATTGATTTCTGCTTTTTCCATCTATCTTAGAGCCTAAAAGTACTCCTTATTATTAGTTATTAGTTGCGAAGTGGTGTCCGACCCATTACAACCCCATGGACAATGTTCCTCCAGGCCTTCCTGTCCTCTATCATCCTCGGGGGTCCATTTAAGCTCATGCCTACTGCTTCAGTGACTTCTATCAGTCAACTATAACAGATTTGTACAACAATCTGTTTAAGATCATTTTTAAGTGATGTAGAGACTTTACAAATACTGGTATGGGTATTGCTAATTAGTCCTGCAAATTGTAGAATATATTTTAAGAAAATGTTTTATAGGAGTTTCTGAATTAAGTTGCTTCTGGATAGTCAACAACTGTTGCTACCAATCAACAAGAACTGAAATCTTTACCTTCGTAAGAAGGACTTTTAGATTAGAAAAAAATAATAAATGGAAATCACAGAACGAATCACTCTATCTTCTTCTGAAATCTATTTATGAGGGAGAACAGCTGTACAGTAAAAGGTTTGTATAGACATTTTCCAAAACTATATTTCTTATTATTCATAAGGCTGACCTCCAATGCCAATCCCGTGTAATCCATAATGATTTTATCACTTAAAAATATATTTGAAGATTTAGTGAAAACATTTGTATATTTACTACAGGAAATAAACTAGCATATTACTAATATAGAACAAAAGCTAAAGTGATGTGTGATTTTTTTCAAAAAGTTTTGCTTAGTAAAAAAAAAAAGTATAAACTCTTTGGAACTGAAACAGGCTTAAGAAAGCCTTTTGTCTCTTTTGTCTTGGGGATGATCTCCAACTGGTAAATTTCCTTGATTGTGAAAGACACTACATGCCTGAATTATTTGACAAGTGTAGAATTCAAATTTAACTATTAAAACAGGGTACATATGACTGCTTCCATGCAGGAATATTCCTGCTGCTGTATTCAGAAATGTTGTTTCTTTAGTCCTCTCACTGGAAAACAAGCACCAATTGTTTTGTTTTCCATCATTATTTGAAGACATATACTTTGACCATTTATGTAAATCCCCCTTTATAATGCTCCCTCATATATGATGCCTTCCTGACAGATACATCCACCAGTAAATCAGGAAAAAATAAAGAATTTATTCCTTATTCAATATATTAACAGAATAATGGAGTTGGATGGAACCTTGGACGTCTTCTAGTCCAGCCTCCTGGTAGGAGACTCTGGCCTATACCATTTCAGAAAAATGGCTGTGCAATCTTTTCTTAAGAACTTCCAGTAATGGAGCATCCACAAGCTGTTCCACTGATTAATTGTTCTAACTTTCAAGAAATTTCTCCTTATTTCTAAGTTGGATCTCCCCTTGATAAGTTTCCATCCATTGCTTCTTGTTCTACCATCAGGTGTTTTGGATAATAGGTTGACCCTCTTTTCTTTGAGGTAGCCTCTTAGATATTGGAAGACTGCTATCATGTCATCACTAATCCGACTCTTCATTGGACTAAACATACCCAATACCTGCAACCCTTTTTCATAGGGTTTAGCTCCCAGTCCCCTAATCATCTTTTTGCTTTTTTCTGCACTTTTTCTAGAATCTCAGCAATCTTTTTTATATCGTCATGACCAAAATTGGATGCAATATTCCAAGTGTGTGGGCTAGAATGAGAAGCCTGAAGAATACCTGTCAATTTCACCTGGTTAGAAATAAAGAAATGCCACTATTCTACTAGTACATTTGTTGAAAAGAGAAAGAAAGACAATGGTTGCCGAGTATTATTGTTTACATTAGTTAGGTTACATAACAAAATTGGTAGATATCCTTGATAAATTCCACCACTGAAAACATAAAGCTCTACTATTTGGTACATTTACACATTTGGTAAGAGAAGGAGAAGGTGTCCAGCCTTTCAATAGTCTGTAAATGAATCTGATAAAAATAAAAAATGCTCAGCTCTCTTACATTTCACTGGCCCAGCAGCTCAGAATAAAACAACCATGGAGGCCAGCACCATTGAGTTTATTTATTTATTTATTTTATTAGTCCAATTTATATGACGCCTTCTCTGTAGACTCAGGGAGGCTTACAATGCATTATAACAATAGCCTGCATACTTTTTTTTTTTTTGTATATACCTGCTTATTAGGGCTTTCACCCTCCACAAGTGGTGTTGTTCTATACAAAGTTGGTTTATTGCCCCCACAATCCGGGTCCTCAATTTACCTACCTCGAAAGGATGGAAGGCTGAGTCAACCTTGAACCTGGTGAGATTTGAACTCGCACTAATTGCAGGCAGCTGGCAGCTAAGTGCTAGCACTTAACAGCACTTAGTCCGCTGCACCACCAAGTTCAGGGAAGGAGTATTCCTATCAAAGTACAGTAGCCAACTGGGCTAGAATTGGAGCAGAGGCACTTTTATGCCTTAGGACATTTTTTAAAAAAGATTTCGTCCTGTATATATTTGCTTTCCTCTGTCTTTGAAATTATCCAAAGGTTTTTCCAAGTTCCCCTTCTGGGCACAATTATGATTAGGTAATCATGCATAAAACAGTCTTTTCACAATGCCTCCACCCCACCTGTTTGTTTAGATATGGATCTCTTCTTGGAAAGGTTTCCCCACCTGTCACCCTCCCAACACTCAGCAAAGACTTTCTTAAAAAATCCCTAGGATTTTTAATCTATGTGGAATTGGAATACTGTGTCAGCTTTATAAATTTTAATTTCTTTCTAAAGCATGTGCGCATTATTTATATTGTATTTTTACCTGCAGCATTTAATAGATTTTCATATTATACTTTGTCCTGCGTTTTTGTCTTATGAACTACACACTTAGTATCTGTTATAAATTAATGATAAACAGTGAATGTGCATACATATCAATCAATCAGCAATGCTTTGAAGAAATCTTAGATAATTTTTTCTGCACTCAAGTTAGTAATTCTACAAGAGAGAACTAAGTTAGAAGACCAATCTATAAGGAAAAACAAAGGAAACAGAAATCATTAACCAAAGAATTTAAGAGTCAAAGAGACAATGCTCTGGAATAAGCTCAAATTATACATAAACTTTCCCTCTTTCTTCAAGATCCTAATGTGCTGAATTGTTATTATCCCCATCAGCGTCGCATAGAAATTATTATGGGAGAGAGGATGTCAGCAATAATGCTGAAATTAGGGCTGTATTTATCTGTAAACTATCAATAAAGATCTCTTCCAAGTCTGTTAATTCTCTGGAAAAAGTTATAACTTTTTACATCTTCAAACCCACACAGCTTCAACCTTAAACTGTCTACCGTGGACCTCACCCCATCCTAAGAGGTCCGTAAAGGGGCCGTGCATAAGCGCACCACTGTGCCTACCATCCCTGTCCTACTGTCCCCATTTATTTGTACTCATTTCCTACGTTCATGTCCATGTTTATATTTATATCTGTTATCTTGTATGTTTGACAAAACAAACAAACAAACAAACAAACAAACAAACAACACTAAGTAATAAGCAAACAGGAATTAAGAACATACTATCCACCTTGATCTGTTAATTCATCTCGGCAAAATCTTCTTTTCAACCTTTTCAACTCATGATTTGAAACTCAGCCAACTTTGAATTATGTAAGGTTACAAAACAGGTTATTTTATCCTTCATCAAAACTTTCAGTAAAGAAGTTATATTCTCTCCCCTCATCTTGTTCCTTACCTGCAAATGCCTTTCATTCTGCCTGTCTGTCACAGTGATAAGTGAATTTCTGGTTGGCGGTCAGAGTGCAGTTCCTGAATAGAGCTGCTCAACAGTCTGGGCAGGGACAAAATGGGTGGCATAATGCCATAGACACACAATAAGATACATACATGTAAATCTGCATGGCACACGTAGATTATTGCAACTCATATAAAAATTAATGAAACACAATGTATTTAACATAATGTAATAACTAGAAATAGTTGAGGGAGATGGGCGGTTTAGAAACATGAAATGCAAAAAAGTACAAGATTTATACAAGATGATGGAAAGCTCAAAAGCCTTTCTTTAGTCTTGAGAATACAAAAAGCTGTTTATTCAGAATTTATTTTGGTAAATAATACCTGGATACTTTGGAAATCAATATTCTACTTTCTTCAGATCATATAAATCTTTTGCCTTTTACAGTACTAAAGATTTCCACGGCATGGAATGTTTATATTCTATGTTTGTAACTAATTTTGGTCTCTGTCTTGTGGAATACTTTCCCCGTTGAGATCCAGTAGGCTCTATCCTCTTAATCTTCCAAAAAGCAGTTAAGAGCTGACTTTTCCCTTGGTTGGGCAATAGTTCTGTTAAACCAAGTGATTGTATAGTTGGCTGGATATAATTGATAGAGTTAGGCGTTTTTTTTTTCTTCATTGTGTGTTTTTATTGTTGTTTTTCAACAATATATTACTGCTGTTTATTTTTCTTTGTTGTTTCACAGCTATAGTACTTTACTGCTTATTTTTTAGATCAATATCTCCATCTTTCCATAAATAGATGCATTAACAAATAACTATCTATCATCATCTGTCTGTCTGTCTGTCTGTCTGTCTGTCTGTCTGTCCTGTCTGTCTGTCTGTCTGTCTATCTATCTATCTAGCTAGCTAGCTAGCTAGCTAGCTAGCTAGCTATCTACCCATCTATATCTCTACCTACCTACCTACCTCATCTATCTATTCTTTGACTCATTCTTGACTCCTTGAGATTGTCTAGAGAAAACCGGGTAGCTTTTTAGGCAACATTTTTGGAAGTGGCTTGCCCTTGCCTTTTTCCTAGAGCTGAGAGAAAGTGACCTGCCCAAGGTCAGCCAGCTGGTTCTGCCCTTAAGGCAAGATTAGAACTCACAGTCTCCTGATTTCAAGTCCTTAAGTACTACATCAAATTGGTTCTCATTTAAAATATAATTACACATTCAAATTAGTACATCAGTAAATCTACATCATAATCATATACACATATTCCAAAGTAAACTAAGTTTTGCTGCTTAAATAATACTTTAGCAATACAAGTATTTAACTACTTATATCCTTATTCATTTCTCCAACTCTTCAGCAAGCAAAGATTTGTTTAATCCACTTCCTCCTACTTGCTGACGTTTTCTGACATGTTCCCTAACCTATTCCATATTAATTCAATAAGAATCATCTACAAAATATGTAGTTAATTCATTTCTGTAACATTTCCAACAGATATACATCATCTTGAATCTTAAGACTGGATTCTAATACACTAAACCATAGCATATTAAATTTTGTATGAGCCATGAATTCTTAGCTGCAATAAGTCTATTTCTGATTTAGTCAACAAATCATGATTAAGCCAACCATACCTTATGCAGAACTGTGTACCTGCACTTTTGGGTTACACTTGGTTCTATGTGAGGTGCTGAGATGTACACTATTAAAGTAATGGATTTTTTAAAAAGGAACTTGGGATTTTTAAGAGCAAAATAAGATTCTACAATGCTTTTTGCCCCTTACCTGCCACTGCCAACCTATTAGAAATGCTAACACACAGAGAGAAAGACAGGGAGGGAGGGAGGGAGACTTCCAGGGTTTGAGAATGTAAAAAGACATTGGATGACTGTATACATCTCAATGATTGCAAATTGACTTTGTCTGTTCTTCTGTATGGATGTTCAAGAACAAATACTTCTCTTTTAGTTACATAAGAATAGAAGAGCAACCTGTTCGGATTAGATCAGGCATGATCAACCTTTTGGTTTGTCAGGGCCACATTGAATGAAGAATTATCTTGAATCACATATAAAATATATCATATAGTTAATGCATATATATGTACCAATGTTAAAAGTTTTCAATCTTGTGGGGCTGCACTACTAGCTGCTTAGGTCCACATGCGGTCCATGGACCAAAGGTTAGACATGCCTGGACTAGACCCATCTTAGTGAAGCATTTTGTTTCTCACCAAATGCCATGGGAACACAACATAGAGACATATCCTTACCCACTCTTGTTCCCTTACAACTGATGTTTGGAGGTAAGCTATCCCCATCAGAAAGAGATAGGAAAAAAAATCTCCCTGCTTATTTTCTCCAGGCCATCCATGATTTTATACACTTCAGGAATGTGCCCTCTTAGTTATCTTTTTTCCAAGCCAAATAGTACAAATATTTACCCTTCTCTCAAACGGAAGACAAAGCCCCTCATGCTTTGGATTGCCTTCTCCTTCATTTTAGCCAGTTCTTTATATCTATTTTTAAGTTTGGCAATCCGAACTGTGCACAGTATTCCAGATGTTGAAACCTCATATATATGTTTAACAGCATTTTGTTATAATAAGCTTTAGCTATGAAATTAGCCTTTTTCTTCTCTATGTATATAGACGCAATATCTGATTGTACAGATTGTACAGATTGTGTTTGCCATTCGGTGGAACGCTAAAGTTTATTGAAAGAGGTGTCCTTCTGGTGTTTGCCTTCTGGGCAGAGCAAAAAGGAAATGTGTTGGAGGGAATTTAGATTGCAAAAGGATAAGCATATATATTTCACAAAAATAGTTGCTTCTGAATTGTAAAGCCTTTTTAATCTCATCATACTTGAGAATGGCTTTTGTTAGTTCAGCCTGAATCATTAACTAGGTGCTTCTTACATCTGCCACAAATGTTTCAAATTTGCATCTAATAAACTACCTTAAAATGCAATATAAAGTTGAGTTTCATATGTAATTCGTGTAACCCGTCGCTACCAGTTCGCTTGTGCATGTGTGTGTGTGCTTGGGCATGCGTGCGATGCTTCTGCGCATGTGCAGAAGCTTCTGCACATGTGCATAAGCGTCCGGCGCAGGTGGCGGAGCCTACTGCTGCCTCCGCTACCGGTTCACCAACCTGGGTAGAACCGGTAGCAACCCACCACTGCTTTAGATTATTAAAATATTATGTTTATATATAATACTTATATGTGGGATGCGGGTGGCTCAGTGGCTAAGACGCTGAGCTTGTCGATCGAAAGGTTGGCAGTTTTTTTGTTTTTTTTAAAATTTGATTTATATGCCGCCCTTCTCCTGATTCTCAGGGCGGCTTACAATGCGTTAAGCAATAGCCTTCATACGTTTGTATATATTTTTATACAAAGTCAGCTTATTGCCCCCACAATCTGGGTCTTCATTTTACCTACCTTTGAAAGGATGGAAGGCTGAGTCAACCTTGAGCCTGGTGAGATTTGAGCAATAATTGCAGGCAGCTGATGTTAATAACAGTGCTTTAGTCTGCTACTTTAGTCTGCTGCGCCACCAGTTCAGCGGTTTGAATCTCTAGTGCCGCATAATGGGGTGAGCTCCAGTTACTTGTCCCAGCTTCTGCCAACCTAGCAGTTCGAAAGCAGGTAAAATATGCAAGTAGAAAAATAGGGACCACTTTTGGTGGGAAGGTAACAGCGTTCCGTGTGCCTTTGGCATTTAGTCATGCCGGCCACATGACCACGGAGATGTCTTTGGACAGCGCTGGCTCTTCAGCTTTGAAACGGAGATGAGCACCACCCCCTAGAGTCGGGAATGATGAGCACATATGTGCGAGGGGAACCTTTACCTTTACCTTTATAATACTTATACAGATAGTAAAATTTCCTTAGAAGAAAAAACCTTTAAAAAAATAATGCTTCTTTTTAAAGTGCGGAATTAAGAAAAATATCATGGAAATATCGTTAAATGTTAAAATTGATGAAATATTACAACTAATGAGGTGATTTGTTTATATGTAATGTTGATTTCAGCAAAGGAGTTGAACTCTCTAATTTCTTAAATGAATATGCTATATCTAGTGTTGTTATCAAAAAACATTTATGCTCATACAATTAAGACATCTAATGTTCCATAAATTTATCTTTTCTTCTAGAAGGTTTTCAGATTTTAGGAACCATTTTTCAGATTCTGCAAGACAGGAATTTCTTTGCTTCGATTGATCCCTTTCCATTCTATTTAGAAAACATCTGTTTAGAACAGATGTTTATTCTATTCTGTTTCTATTTAGAAACAGAAAAAAAGAAATGGAATTTATTCAATTTTATTCAACTTGTGTTAACGAAAATGCTTTTTGTGTCAGCATCAGCTGAAGACGCATATAAAAATCCGAGAGCCGTCACTGAGTAGACCCCTCCCTCTTATCTTTACTAAATGTGCTTTTAGAAGTGGTGAGCAGAAAGAATGGTAATTCCCAAAGTTCCTAAAACTTGATCAGGCTCAGTTCCTTAAGCCATTTGCTATCTTTTGCATTTATTTCTGGTTTTTAATAATACCTTCATCATTACTGAGATGTGTGGGAGTGGTTCTGGGAATTCTTAAGTGTCTTGAAAGTTGAAAAGCAAAAACTATGAACATCTGACATAAAAGAAAACCTATGGGTATGCAATGCTTTCCCTTGAGGATTCCTGACTGGAAGAAAAGGAGGAATAACAGGCTCAAGCAAAAACTGCAGGCCTACAGTTGCCTGAGGACAAGGCTTGCCATGTTTAGAAAAACAGAGCAAAAACGCACTTGTATACAGATAGTCCTTGACTTATGACCGGTTGCTAAGTGACCATTTAAACTTCCAATGGACTTATCTGGTGGATACTTATAACCTGAGTTTGAAGTTCTGATGGTCACCCCTACCCCCAGTCACATGACCAAATTTTGGGTGCTCACAACTGATCCATATTTACAACTGTTTGCAGAATCCCTCAGTCATGTGACTACATTTGATGATGGTTTCACCAAACCCCCTGCATTTTTCCAGTTTTAAGCAAAACTGTGACTACAGAATGCTAAATGA